TTTGAATCGTTAGTTGCACTTGTTTTTAGATGGATTACCTATTTGCATCCATCTTTACTATGGATGATTTATGCCTTAAGACCGCATATTGTAGAAATGCGGTCCAGCTCACATGAAACAATTTTCCTTTATATTTAGGAAAAAGTTTATATAGAGCCGAGGCTCTAAATAATCAAATTAGAGTGCACTTAACAAATTTCACTAGAAGATGTTGTTTTGATATCCAAATGTCTTCAAATTGATCATCTCGACATCAAGATGTATGGACATGACAAACAAAATGGATTTCAAATTTTGAAAATAGTGCATCTTATAATGCATTTTGGACGTTAATTTTCTAGATTTTCAAAATTTCATAGATTTGCTTGAATTGCACTATTTTTGAAGTTTTAAATTTTTATAATTAGATATGAAAATATATTTTGAGGCTATCACAAAGATTTATAGTATTGAAACCCCATTTCTCGACATTATTTGAAAGTGTGCTCTACTTTGAACGTTTAGAGTCTCGGTTATATACAATCCGCACCCTTATATTTATATTGTATATATTTGGTATCAAATACAGGCACCCAAAACTTCTTTAACATTCCTCGTAGGTACTCAGAACGTCTTTAAGTAACATTCCATTCCAAGGCATATTTATCTTCTAGGAAAACAAACATGGCCTAAAGTTTGGGTAAACTTTGGCTTAATAAATACTATGCAAAGTTCCCTAAAGTTGAGTAAGCTTTGGCTTAATAAATGCTATATAAATTAGTGTTTCAAAATCTGAATCGGTGGGGCGGATCCATTCACCAACAAACCTGATAGGATTGATGGATCGGTGATTCTTCGAAATTGTGATCAAGAAAAAAATAAAATAAATTAATAATTAATATAGCGGTTTATTGGATGAGGATTGGAGGGCACTTAAAAAACATTAGATAAGATTCAGAAAAAGGGAACATATATATACATGTAGACATGTTCTCAGCTCAATTGAAAATTTGTGTTTTTCTTATTTTCTTGTTTGCTTTTTTCTTTTTTTAGAGCCATTTTTATACTATCATGTACGCGCACACACATAAAAATGGAGAGACAACAACTGTAATAAAAATTGTTGGCATCAACGAGATCGTGTGAAGGATTTTAGAAATTTTAACAGCAACAAAAACCATTAACCACATTGTTAAAGCTAACACCTTAAATTTTATTGGATCATGGTATTAATTATAAAATTAATTCATAGACCATACTTAACATCCCTAGTCCAAATTTAGAAGTTCCTTTACACACGGAAGGCACCAAACTGCCACAATACTCACAGAAACCATGAAAATTACATCAAAAGGATAGGCCTAGCAAAGTCATATTCAAATAGTCTAAAACCCATATAAGCGTATGAAAAACTACACAAGCTTTCTGACAATCCAATGGTGGAGGATCGGGTATAGATCAGCCTGGATCGGAGATCAAAAAAATATTAAAAATAAAACAAGTTAAAAATTAAAATAGAGGTTCATGGGGCGGGAGTTTAGAAGGGCCTATAAAAATATTAGAGAAGCTTTTTTTTAATATATATATATATATATATATATATATATATATG